GCATCGCTGCCTACGCCGACGGCCAGAGGCCCGCGCATCTACATTTTTTCGCCTGACCCCATCAGTGCCGACCCAACTACACCACCACGCGCATGCCTCGCGGCGGATATGCGCAGCAGCAAGAAGGTTTCGGTCATCCCTTGAGGGTGAGTCTAGCCCTGCTCGCCAGAAAGACCCCCCCCTTCACTACAACCCATGTCTACGCAAAAGCTTGTCGAGGAGCGAGGGGAAGAAGGGAGAGTACTACACTTTTTCAGTGTATTTTTTCGTACAACTACAACCAACCATCCAGGGTCACACAGGAGGGGGTAAACACCAGGGCTTTTTTCTTGTTTGTATTTCTTTTCATGCCCCACCTTCCTCCTGCGGTGCGTGCTGAATTTTATGTTATCGCGAGAAGGGTCCAGCCGTCCCTTTCCCTCGTCGACGGTGCTTACGTCGCAGTTTGGTACTCACGAGAGCTTTTTTAGCTATGTTTCGCTTTCACCCGCAAATTTCGTAAGTTTTTCACCCCATGGGGATTAGAACTCACGACCTCCGCAACTAGCGGATAACGAGGAGACCACTAGACCACCGGGGCGACCTGTATAGTGCCGGTTACCTCTACGGCAGATCGGTTCTTCGTCTCACAGGAGGAGCAGCTGCAGCGCGCACTCTTCTGCTTGCTTCTTGCTGCTGCTGCTGCTGAAGTTGTACTCCTATACGTCATCGCCGCCGTGCTCGTCCAATCTCCCGAAGAAACTTCCCCGCAATTTCTTGTCTACCTTGCCACTGTACGATTCAATCCCGCGCCACAAACCCCAGATTTCCTTCGATCTATCTTACTTTGCAGCCCGGCGCTTTCATCCTAGACCAGAATTTATTCAGTGATAAAACACTCGCTCTGCCGGGACTCGAACGCATGACCTGGCCCTTAGCAGGCTGCGAGGTTACCCACTAGACCACCGGGGCGACCGATTACTTCCTGCGGCAATTGCTCAACTATTTAAGAGACAAGTTGAAGAAAAAGGAAGGGCCGACAGAAGTGTTGTTGTTGTTGTTTGTCTTCACATTAAACCGTATGTCAGTTGCTAAATGCCAAAATCTAGCAAAAGACTCTCAGCCCGTGGTCACGAAAGTGCTAGAGCCATCTGAGGATCTAAAGAACACGCACACATCTGACGAGAAAAAGGTATGCAAGAGCCCGAAGAGGTACACCTAAAAATCCCTGCAGCACCGTATGCGTGCCCAAAAACTGAACTGCACGTCCGTCCCACCGTTCGACTACAGTAGCATCACCCCCTCCCTGTCCCACTCTATACCAAAACGGAAGATTGCCGACTACAGCATAATGCTGTCTGAAGTGCTGTCTGTACAAAAACACCATGGTAGGCATGGAACAAGCAGCTGGCGGGGCACAAAGCTGCTGTCTGAAGTGCTGTCAGAATGTGTCTGCGGACGTACAGTGAAAAAGAACAACCAACCAAAGCCATGATTGCAATGGACAATCACCCGAACCTCTCCCGATCGTCTGTGTTAGGCACGCAGTGAAAATATCGACAATAGCTAAGAATCGTTCCACATTGAAGGGGTCTTCCACGATCAGGCACATAACCAAGGCACCCGGGTTAGCCACGCCATCTCTGACGGGTCTCTCTACAAAACCAGTGACGACGTCATCACATAGAACCAACACCGAAAATCAGGAAAAAAACGAGAAAAATTGACAACACAGATCAGATATAAATGTTTGTCCGTGCGCCACGGGTCGATGTCGCCCGCATGCTCCGGTGCCGCTGCTCCGTCCGGCGCCGCTGTAGTCAGCCCGAGCATAACGCCACTCGACCTGCTCCGTCCGTACACGCTCTCGTTGCTGTCCTTCCCAGTCGGTTCCTCGCTTTCTCCCTCGTCGCACTTAGGGTTCTCGGTCTGAAGATTCTCGCGCCGAAGGGTCAACCAGCCCAATCAGCTCGTCACCACCTGTCCCCTCCTCCTTTGATGGCAAAACCAGGTTACTGAGACAGTACAGCTCCCTCTAACAAACCTAGGGCCGTGTACATAGTTCCCGTCCACCTTCTGACGGTGTCTGCCTCCGCGCACAAAAAATGAGATGGGCATCGCTGCCTACGCCGACGGCCAGAGGCCCGCGCATCTACATTTTTTCGCCTGACCCCATCAGTGCCGACCCAACTACACCACCACGCGCATGCCTCGCGGCGGATATGCGCAGCAGCAAGAAGGTTTCGGTCATCCCTTGAGGGTGAGTCTAGCCCTGCTCGCCAGAAAGACCCCCCCCTTCACTACAACCCATGTCTAAGCAAAAGCTTGTCGAGGAGCGAGGGGAAGAAGGGGAAGTGTATCAATTGTTGTTGTTCCACATACACTAACTGGATGGATGGCTGTTTGGCAGATACGTCTGAATCTCTTCGAACTGCTTGAACATTAATTCTTGCAGATTCCGACACAAAAAAATCATACACAGGCGAATCGTGTCTGTCTGCAAACATCGATTGTATGGAACCTAGATCTTGACGCGCCCAGATATCTGTGGACTTCGATCTACATGTATGTATGCATGTATGCGTATGGTTGGGTTTGCGTGTTGTGCGCACGAATCTGGCGCGCGCGGATGGCTGCAGACTTTAATCTACGAAATGGTTGGCGACGAAGGATGGCACTGACGTCTGCATTACTGTTGGACTATGAAAGAGAAAGAAATGCGCTCGACTATTGTTTCAGAGGCAGAAAGAGAGCGAGGGTGAGCGACCGAGAGCGAAGGATGGCACCCAACACGGACGTGGGCGACGAAGGAAAGGTGGGTCATTTCGTTGAAACCCTTTGCACCCGCGCTCTGTATGACCGCAGCACGGTCAACTGCCGAGATTATGGATCACACAGCGAACGATCGACTACGAATCTCGCTTGCACGCGAGGATGACTGCTGATGTGGATGGGTTGAGAGCCGGTCTTGACCAAGAAATCGGTTCCCGATTTCACTTCCCGATTTGATTATAAGACCACAAGATCCAAAGAACTCTCTTGTTGATTGGCTAAAAGTTCTGGAACCCGTGGAATCCTTAGGACTTATAAAATCAGATCCCCCCTCTCCAAATCGGGAATCAAAAAAAAGGTAAAATGATCTAATCGGATCTCGATTTGGGTGAAACGAAACCAACTTCGAACATTAGCGGTCTACTCGCACGTACGGCGCATGCCCGCCTACCCCCATCCACACGAACCCCATCCACCGCCGAGCACGGAGGAGAGAGAGAGCACATAAAGCCAACCGAAAGGGAGGGTGACTGCGCATCGTTGTTGCACGTGACTGGCGCCAAAAAAAAACGTGTGTGGGATGAACTGGGCAATCTCCCGTGGATTGTCGAACCTCAAATGCTCAGACAAATCGGTAGCTTTCTGTTTGACGAGGCTCGATTCAGAGTCTCACATGCATAGACGTCGTGTCAGTACCCCACGCAGGCCATGTACGCGTTTGGTGTGTGCATCTCGGGAGCGATAGCTCCTCATGTGGTGTGGCCACGTCATGACAGACGTTACAACAGCAACTTGGCAGTCGGCAAGCAAGCGGCGGACCTCTCGGGTTGTTCGCGGTTGTTGTTGTTGTTGTTGACTTCACATTAAACCGTATGCCAGTTGCTAAATGCCAAAATCTAGCAAAGACTCTCGGCCCGTGGTCACGAAAGTGCTAGAGCCATCTGAGGATCTAAAGAACACGCACACGTAGCAAGAAAAAGGTGTACAAGAGCCCGAAGAGGTACTACTACA